CCTGCGTTTCTGTGCAATTCACATGCAATTCTCTGAGGTGTGCTTTCAACCCATTAATTTTGGATAGGCTGAAATTGCACTGCACCAAAAGTAGCTCGTGCACTACTTTTGGGAGCTCACTGCAACTGGATCGTATGGTATTACTGTACCATGTGATCCAGTGCTGTCAAATGCAGTGCGTTTTGGATGTTATTAACTTACTAATGACACTCGCTTCAGATCGCAATTGCAGTACATTTTGAACGCGCGGTGTAGGAAATGCGCATAGAACACAGGGTTCTGGTGTAAACGGAATCTATGTGTAGAAATCAAGAATCGCTCTGGTCCATCACGCAGGCAATAGTCTTAGTTTACGTTATGCTTCGGTCTCTAGATGCAACTTTAAAAAAAAGAATAGGCATTTCCATAAAATAATGTGTAAAGAAAAAAAGGATATCTTTATGGAATTGAAAATATAAAAAGGGTATACAGCAAGGCACAGATGAAACCAGTGAATCTAGCCATGCACTCCACTAGGTTCACTGGATTCACCAGCAATCAATCCTTAATCTGTTTACCCTAGTTTAAGGGTATATATCAAAAATATATACAATTATTTGTTAGCTAGGTTTAAAGCTACATTCCAGAAAAGTTCTGTCCCCTCTCCTACCACATCCCTCTAACTCATTCTTCCTGGCCTTTTTGTTTCCTTACTTTGTGAGCAGTGGCGTCCCGAGGCAGATGCGGGGGGGGGGGGGGGGGGGGTGCGGTCCTCACCGGGTGACACCGACCGCACGAGGTGACACCGGACCCGCTCTACAAAAAGGTAAGTTGTAAAGCAAGCTGACGATCCCTGCAGGATGGATCCGATCCATCCTGCGGGAATCGTCGGCTTTCTTTATTATTTACCTTTTCTTGCAGCGGGTCCAGTGTCACCCCGTATAGGTTGCATGCTGAAGATCCTGCAGGGATCGTCGGCATGCAACCTATAAGGGGTGAAACCGAACTCGCTCCAAGAAAAGGTAAGTTATAAAGAAAGCCAACGATCCCCGCAGGACGGATCGGATCTGCGGATTGAGCATAATGGATCGGAGTCCGATCCATTATGCTCAATCCGCAGATCCGATCCATTCTGCGGGGATCGTTGGAGGGGGTGTCACCCAGTGCTACTGCACTGGGTGACACCAATCCTAGGGATGCCTCTGTTTGTGAGTTACTTTGTAAGCCCTGTGTCCAGATTCCTCACCACCACCATCTCTGGATGTCAGGGACTGCTAATCCTGCACTGCAAAGGTGCCTGAGACTGACAGCCCCCACTGTATCTCCCTGCTGATATCCTCTTATGAGATGATGTCCTGAGAGATCCCCACTGCTGGACATCCAAAAGGAAGTGTCCATGTTGTGTAGTCAGTGAGGTGTCCACCTAAAGAAGGACCCACACAGAAAGTAAACAGAAGAGAAGACTTCGGGCTGGAGCATCACATGGCCACAGGTTTAGGCAAGTTAAAAGGGCCTTTAGATAGGGATTTTCTTCACATCCAGTGATCAGTTGGAAGAGGGGGTAACTATCCTGGAGATGGACGTCAAAACAAGGACTTCAATCAGTTCTGATGGTTAATACCTGCTTCTTTGTATGTCAAGATGAAGTTCTCGCTCGGTCAGGGAACACAAGCATGGCTACTTACTCTTCCTCCATTGTTTGCACCACTGTTGTTCTTCCCAAACACGTGTCCTCTCCTACCCACATTTCCTTTCCTTTTAGATCACTTCCTTCCAACATCAGGTTCAAATATATTGCCATATATTTGAAATGCTACAATTTTGGCCATATTCAAGATATACTGCATGTTATAATGCATTTTTTTTTTACAAAATATATGAAAAATATTTTTAAAAATACATTTCAAATACACTGTATGTCTTTAAAAATACAAATCTACATTTTTGGAATGCATTTACAAATATATGTAAAAAAAAAGTTAAAATGACTTTTTTATATGTTAAAAAAAAAATCTGAAGACTATATTTACATTTTTTTTTAATTTAAATATACTTTTTTTTAAAAATATAGTCTTCAGATTTGTTTAACATATAAAAAAGTAATTTTAACATATATTTTTTTACATCTATTTGTAAATGCATTCCAAAAATGTAGATTTGTATTTTTAAAGACACACACTATATTTGAAATGTATTTTTAAAAATATTTTTCATATATTTTGTAATAAAAAAACATTTCAACATGCAGTACACACATATTGAATATGTCCAAAATCGTAGCATTTCAAATATATGGCAATATATTTGGGAAGACTATTTTTCAAATATATTTTTCTTTCATATGGGTAACAAAAGCCTCTCTCCATAGGTCGCCCTTCTCTATGGAATGCAGTTGTGGGGGTAGACGTGCACCAGAACTGTAAACTTCAAAACATTATTTCCATAAAGCAACTGGGTTAGGGGAACTGAGATGGACTGCTGGGATGGAAGCTGCTTTTTTAAATTGAATATGTGAGCAGGCACCATGTGGCCTCTCAGGGTGTAAAGTCATTTTGGTCATTTGTTCTAACGACAGGTTCTCTTTTGTTTTTTTCCACTGCAATTCTCCTAAAGAACCAGCAGGTGCCACTTATGCTCTTCTAATCTTACAGTATCTGGTTGAACATTTTTCAGATTTCAGTTGGTGATTACTGGTGGTGGCATATTGTTAAATTCTTCTTAGAGAGAATAAAAGGAGCTGAAAGCACCCGGCTCTTCATCTTCTGTAAAATATATAAAAGTTATGGTAATTCTGAGCGGATGATGAAAGCCCCAGGAGAACGTCTGGCTTTTTGTTCCCACTGCATTATGTCACATTATGCCACTTTTCCAGGTTGGTTCTGGTTCTTCTTAAGAATTAACTCCTCTTAAGATGGAGATCTGGGGGACGGATTTACATTCGGAATGTATGTTACAGAGACTTGTTTAGAAGTGCGATTGAGGAGATCAGTCAAGTTGCTACATCTCTGGTTCTGCAATGCTAATAATTCAGTCTGCTAGGGGAAAAAAAAAAAAAAGCTGCAAGCTAGGATTACACCAGTTCTGTGGCCAAAACCGAGTCTAAAAATAAACTCCCAGCAAAGAGCTTTCTTCCCTTTCAGCAGTTTAACTCTTCTGTGAGGAGGTAAAGTTAAAGTGACACTAATCTCTGGTTAAAATAAAATTCTATTCAAGTATGTACTCCTAACTCAAAAATTACCTTCTATTGCTCTCAGCCTCCTGCAAATATCCAAATTTACTTTTTTTTTTGCAACTGTGATCTGATTCCCTGTTAGACAAGGTCCACGGGCCGAATCCAGCCCGTGAGGCCATTTCGTGTGGCCCTTGCATTTCTCCAACAGCTGCGGCACCCCCTCATCTCCGCACCCACCTGGTCTCAGCAGAGGAGGACAGAACATCTCCTCCAGATCCTGTGCTTCTTCATGCAGCCACAGAGAGGCTCATCTCTGAGCCCCCCATCTCTCAGTAGTTGGCAGTATAGAGGGGGGACAGAACACTTCCTCCAGATCCTGTGCTTCTTCATGCAGCCACAGAGAGACTCATCTCTGAGCCCCCCATCTCTCAGTAGTTGGCAGTATAGAGGACAGAACTCCTCCTACAGATCCAAAAAGCAGAGGCCCTGTAGAATAAAAAGGTGATAGTTGGGCATTTTTATGTCACATGATATTTGCACAACTGTTTATTAAATGCAAATTTTCAGGAAAATAGATAACATGAATTTTAGTGCAAAACCACACAATAGAATGCCCATTTAGTTATAAAAGATAAGGTTGCATCAAGTAAATAGATACCAAACATTCCATGTCTTAAAATTGTGTACACCCGCAATATTGCCAAAAACTACGGTGCCCAAAAATCACCATAGGTGACGCTTTTACAGCTCATCAGGTTAGAGTTAACTATGAGCTCTTGTGCTAGAATTATTGTTCTCAATCTGACGTTCACAGCGATATTTCACACGTGCAACTGCGGTTTACACACGTGTGTACATCCTGGGCTTGCGTTTGTGTTTACGCAGGTCTGCGGGGCAATGGGGGTTAAGGCAATTTTTTTTAATGTTAATATATTTTTATTATTAAAATTTTTAAAACTTAGTTTTTTTATATGTTTTTTTTTACTTGATCGCTATCACAATTAGTTAATATTCCCTATGTGGCAGCATTGGGCAGGTGACAGGTACTCTTTATGGAGACATTAGGGGTCTAATAGACCCCAGATGTCTCTCCCCTCCCCATCACACCATCTAACCAAGCACAGATCTACTTGGTTAGATGCGTCCACTGTCTGTACTGGACAGGAAAGGGTGCATATGAGATCGAGGCATGGGTTTGCCTCGGTCTCACAGCGCTCTCCCTCCCCTAGTTGGTGGTTGTGTTCCCAGGCTCCGGTAAAAGCAATCCCGGGAACCACGGGAGGAGAGGGGACTGCCAGCGGGAGGGGGGAGGCACCGCACTGCCGGCTCTGTGAAAGTGATTGGCAGCTATGGAGCTGCTGCATCATTTTGACTTTCAAGCCGGTAGCCAGCTCAAGAAGAACCACACAAGCTGATGGATGCTACTGCAGCCATCAACGTGCGATTAAATGTTCACTCATTGAACGTACGGTGGGCAGGGTGGGGGACTCTTGACTTCTGATGGTGGGGAGGGCTCTTGACATCTGATGCAAGGGGGGGTGGGGTGCTCTGGACAACTGCTTATCATTATGATAAGAATAATACAAGTCTATGTCAGTTGAAAAGAAGAGTCACACACCACTGGCATCATCCACAAGAGACTTTATTGGAGACTTCCCAGACAGAACACCATGGCCAAGCCACGTCCTGTCAGAGCAGTATCCAAAGCTTCTTGTGGATGATACCAGCAGGGTGAGACCCTCATCTTCATCATCTGCTACAGGAGTGGGTGGGCTCCATGCCGGTCTGCACCTGCCCGTCACAGCTTAAAGTGTTACTAAACCCACAGCAGTAAAATCAGTCTGTATATACAGTAAAGCATGCTTGTTATACTCACTGTGGAACCGAAGGGGTTAATAATCTGGATTGTGTAAAGAGACTGTTTGATCCTGACTTTCCTGAACCTCCCCTTCTTCCATTCCCCCCCCCCCTTATCTCCTGATAAGACATATCGTGTGGAGACACTCTGCACATGCTCAGTTTGGTGTGTATTGCTAGAGCTTTTTTTTTTTTTGGTAGAGTGCATGTGATCAGCACAGGGCCAATCAGCACTGTCCAGACAGAGGTCTGGGGTTTTGCATCCTTCTAGAGCAAAAAAGAAAAAACTCCTGCAAGCTTTAACCTGTACTCTGCTGGACACTGATAGAAGTCAAGACTGCTCTAACTGCTGATGAGAAAAGGTATTTAGAACTTTATATTCACTAAACTCATTTGTTGTGTGTGCTGTGGGAGACCAGATATAGTGAATGCAGGGTCCTGGGAGACCAGCTATAGTGAATGCAGGTCCTGGGCTTAGTAATACTTTAAATGACTAAACTCAGTAATAATCAAATGCAGAGGCAATTATTTAATATGATAAAGAGTAAGAGTAGATCTATTTATATAGTCCTACAGATACAACCGAGGCGGACTGACAACTCATGGGGCCCCTGGGCAATAGGGGATCATGGGGCCCCTGTGTCCTTGCCCACACTCAAAAAAAAGCCTATAAAAAAGGTAACAGGGGAATTTCATGGGGCCCCCTACTGACCCTGGGCCCTCGGGCAGTGTTCGAAATGGTCAGTCCGCCCCTGGATACAACTGGCCCTTTGAGGGCAACCACAATGCTTATGCGGCCCACAATGAAATAGAATTTGACTCCCCTGTGTTAGAGGGTGGCTACATTCATTCTCCATGGTCTTCCTGTACATTGGAATGCAGCCACCCTCTCTTGCCCTCTCCAGAGATGGACTATGGGCTGTGGGATTTGTAGTGTGCATAAAATATTGCACATGATCACCAGTAATGTGCACTGCTCATTCCAAGCAAATGAAAGTGAGAGGGGAAAAGGTGAGGTTTGGGAGCTCACAGAGGACATTAGAAGGAGGAAGAAAAACACATGTAGCAGGCTCCTTGTACAAGAGGATTCAGAAGGAATCACATGTTGAGCAGTCAGTCCTTCCTCTCTCTCCCCTATTTGTAAAACCTGGGCATTCTGCCAAGTTGATGACTCATCCACTACACAGCAAAGAATGCAGGGAAGGGGAGGAAGCAGGAAGTGAAGGGGAGAACAGAGAGACACGAGGCTGGAGAAAAGACAGGGACACGTGGAGCCCGTCCAAGCAGAGGAGGAGGCACTACAGCACTCAGGGACCCTGCTGTGTGTTCAGAGTCTGGTGAGCTGTCCCCCTGGAGAGAGTAAGACACACCATTTACACTTTGCATATAGACTGGGGACATCCGCACCCCACTGCTGGGATCTCACCCATCCAGGGCCCTGTGCAAGCCACAGATTCCCCTGCCTGCTTTGCCCCTCCCCACCAGTGTAATTGAGACTGTCTGCCCCGGGGACTGACACCTACTGGGAGATTGCATCCTGCGACTGCTCCTGGTCTTGGGGTGCTTTGTGTTGCCTTTAGACACTGAGGTTGGACCCTCTCAGCCCAGAAACCTAGTGAAATCTGATGTAACCCACACCAGCTGAAACTCCAAAGAAGCCTTCAGCTGCTATTTACTTCATTATAAGGACTAAACGTGCACCAACTAGAGCTCCACCGTTACAAGGACTGAAGTGGGGGAATCTGGCTTAGTAGCTTTATTAGAGGTACCTCTTTATTGCATCCTGTTCTGACTCTGAGGTGATTTTTGGCTAACGCCCCTCAGAAGCAGAATCATACACCGGTGTGGGTAATACATTTCATTGATAGAGTATAAGTAAGTTTATTTGTTTGATATCAGTTTTATTCTGCTTAAAGTGCAACTCTGCCATCTGGAGACTCTTGGCTGTGAAGCCCTCTAGTGGCAGACCAAATTTACTGCATTGCATAAAAGAAGAAAAGTAAGTTTGGAAGTTGAAAGGGGAACCCCACCCCTCTACACTGCATTTCATGCTCCATAAAATTGTTCTTGTTTCATTTAACCCTGTGTCAGCAAATTTCTTGGCGGGGTATTTGCTATTCATTACCAGTTGTGCCAGAGGGCTTGGGTTTGCTTAGGGTTGGATCTATTGAGCGCAGGACCCATAATATATTCCAGCTTGTCCCAAGGGGCAGTGCTAAATATAGGAGGACCCAAAACTCAGCGACTCCTAGAGGGGTAGTGCTACACACAGTAAAGATAGATTTACAGTTGCAAGAAAAAGTATGTGAAACCCTGGGATTACGTGGAGTTTTGCATGAATTGGGCATAAAAAACTGTGCTCTGAACGTCATCTAAGTCACAACTGATAGAAGTCACAGTCTGCTGAACATAATACTGACAAAAATTAGATGTTGCCATGGTTTAATTGCACATAAACATGTAAACATTCACCAGATATAGTGAATGCAGGGAGGGAAAAGCTATAGTGAATGCAGGCCTGGGCTTAGCTTTAATGACTTCTCCCAGAGCTTATTGGATGCCAAAGAGTAAGAGCCAATCTTTTATATAGTCCTACAGATCAGTGTGGACTGACATTGGATGTGTTGGGATCAGCTGTCCTGCCCCACACTCAAAAAAGCCTATAAAAACCTAACAGGGGGGTTTCTGGGGCAACTGAAGCACTGGGCTGATGTGAACATGCTCGAAGGTCAGAGCCCTCATACAAGACCCTTTGAGGGCAACCACAGAATGCTTATGCTTGCATGAAGCTGAAAGGGTTAGAATTTGACTCCCCTGTGTTAGAGGGTGGCTACATTCATTCTCCATGGTCTTCCTGTACATTGGAGAATGCAGCCACCCTGTTGCCCTCTCCAGAGATGGACTATGGGCTGTGGGGATTTGTCCTGTGCATAAAATACTGCACATGATCAGCGCAGTAATGCTGCACTGATTCCAAGCAAAATCCCAGAAAGTGTCAGAAAGAAAACAGAGGTTCTGGCTCACATGAGGACATTTTTTGGAGGAAGAAAAACTACAATAGCAGGCTCATTAAACAAGAATGGATACAGAAGGAATCACATGTTGAGCAAGTCCATTCTGTCCCCTAAAAACCTGGGCATTGCTGCCACGTTGATGAATTTGCAAAAGAATGCAGGAAGGGGAGGACAGCACTAAGTGAAGGGGAGAAATACACTGTGGACTGGAGAAAAAACAGGGACACGTGGAGTTGTTTGCAGAGGAAGGCACTACAGCACAACACTATGTGTGTTCAGAGTCTGGTGAGCTGTCCCCTGGAGAGAGTAAGACACACCATTTACACTTTGCATATAAACTGGGACATCCGCACACTGCTGGGATCTCACCCATCCGGGGCCCTGTGGCAAGCCACAGGTTTGGGGCTGCTTTGCCCCTCCCCAGGGCCAGTGGAATTGAGATTGTTGCCCTTGGGACTGAAAACTGGGAGATTCCTGCGACTGCTCCTGGTCTTGGGACTTTGTGTTGCAGAAACTGAGGTTGGACCATCTGTCAGCCAACTGAAGCTAGTGAAAGGATGGGTGATGTAACAGGACACCAGCTGAAACTCCAAAGAAGCCTACAGCTGCTAATTCAACAAAACAATGGCGTGCACCAACTAGAGCTCCACCGAATACAAGGACCTTCTGGAGTGGCCCAGTCTTAGTAGCTTTACCTCAAGGTACCTCTTTATTGAAATGCTGTGGCTGACTTAAGAGGTGATTTTTGGCTAGACATCCCTCAGAAGCAGATATTGCTACACCGGTGAATACATTTTTGATAGAAGTATAGTAAGTTTATTTGTTTGATATCAGATGTATTCTGCTTAAAGTGCAGACTCTGCCATCTGCAGACTACTGTGAAGCCCTCTTGGTGGCAGACCAAATTTACTGCCATAAAAGAAGGGTCAGTAGTTTTAAGTTGAAAGGTTCACCCCCACTTTTTCCTCTACACTGCACTTCATGCTCCATAAAATGTTCTTGTGCAATTAAACCTGTGTCAGCAAAATTTCTTGGCGGGGTATTTGTATTCATTACCAGTTGTGCAGAGGGACTGTGTTTGCTTAGGTTGTGATCTATAGAGCGCAGAGCCCATAATATATTCCAGCTTGTCCCAAGGGGCATGCAAAACTCCATAGGAGGACCCAAAACTCAGGGACTTCACTATACTTAGTGCTTGCACACAGTAAAGATAGATTTAGATGTGCGTCTATATCTCTCTTTCCTCTGAAGCCTGATGTGTGTTTGGATCTGACTCCAGAGGCTACTGACATGCAGTGAAGAATCAATGTGTTGCCTTCTGACTGCCTGTTTTAACCAAATTCTTGCCAAAAAACATGCTGCGACTGCGTGGAATGCATGTGGTTGTGGGGCGTACGCGACACTTCCCCATTTGCTTGAGTGTGTAGTGTTCAGCGGGCTTGCCACCTACCGATCGCTACGTGTTGGGTAAACTTTGCCACAGATACAATGTAAAGCATCGCAACCAAGCATTTAATCACCCCCGTCTATTGTAGCTTAAGGGGAGGTGGGTGGCTAAAATGTGCAGCTGAGCCCTGTTTTTGCCATCCACCTCCCCTTAAGCTGCAATAGAGCACCTCTAAATGGAACATTAGTAAGAGGCATAGATGACAGGGTTATTATGTAGTGGATGGGAATGGGTCATTTTTAGAGAATAAGGATATCTCGCGTATGCAGGCCATACACGGGTCGAATTCCAAACAAATGTTCTTTAGAAAATCGGAAGTTTCATGCGTTTTGTAATCCGATGGTGCCGCCATTGATTTCTAAATTCAACCAACCAAGCCTTCAATTTCAAGTCATGTTCAGGGGGGGGACTGACAACTCACGGGGCAATAGGGGATCATGGGGCCCCTGTGTCCTTGCCCAAACTCAAAAAAGCCTATGAAAAAGGTACCAGGGGCATCTCATGGGGCCCCCTACTGACCCCGGGCCCTCGGGCAGTGCCCGAGTTTCCAAATGGTCAGTCCGCCCCTGGTCATGTTGCTACAGAAAAGAATTTTCGTGACCAAATATTTTCTTTTCTTTCCAGGTCACAGCTCATACTCATTTCTTTTTCGTTTATATTTCTCGCACGATTCTCTCATCATTCATTCAAAATTTGTTCTATACACTATAGCCGTGTATAACCCCTTGATGCTGACGTAAAACAAAT